TCCAGGAGCCGGGAAGGCGCCCGCGGGGCAATGGCGCGAAGGGCGGCGGGCGCCCGGTTGCAAAAAGAGCGCTGCTGCTTTGCTCTCCGGCTGGTCTCTCTTCTTGAGGTCGGGCCCGCTCCAGTGTGACCGGTGGTGGAGAAAGGAGAGAGTGGGGAGGGGGGGGTCTTGCTTCAAGGGTGGGAGAAACAAGAGCCCGGTTTAATTCCGGCTGGCGAAAGGATGCCACCGTTCACACGGCAGATCGAGCCGCAAACTCTACACGTGAAAACCCATCAGCGGCCGGGCTGGTTTCCCTTTTCGAGCGGTTCCATTCGGGCTCCGTGTCGAGCGGGTTCAACCCAGCCCTAGCTCTGAACTCGGCCGACCTCTCGATCTGCGGGTTTCATACTTGGGGGGGGGGCGTATTTGTCAATGAATTAAGACTCGTTTAATAAAACCGGATTGGTGGCAGCAATAGAAGCGGAGATGCGGATTCCCCCGACTTCACAGGTGGGGATCCGGAGCAAGCAACTGAAAACGGGGGCTAGAAGGCACAATTCGTTTTTGCCGTGCCAAAAACATGTATTCCCCCCCCCCCCCCCGGAGATCTCTTACCTCTCGAATCTGCAAAGATCCCTGGGAAATGGATGTTGCAAGTCGAAAAACCACAATATGTGAATTACGTATGTAATAATGTATACAATAAGGTTACTGTGTATTAATAGATGTTTGCTTAATTAGTTATAAGAAAGCTGAGTTTGCTTCCTGTTTAGTTGGAAGCTAGCTGCAGGAAGGGAAGAATTGCTTAAATACCCAGAGAGGTGACATCTTTGTTGTGACCAACACAAAAAAAAAAAAAGAGAGAAGAGCAATCTTGTGATTTTCCAGAATTCATTCCCAAACTGGCTGCTCAGCAAAATAGGGAGCAAAGGGGAGGGGGGCTGCAAAATCACCATTGGGAGGGACTCGGGGACTGGGGCAAGGAAAGATCACCGAGTCCAGAGGCCAAACAGATTGGCATGAAACAAATTATAATTTATCCCTTGCCGTTCAGAGATAAAACCTTTCTTTTTGCAACCCACTTCAGTGTGAAAGGAAACTTAAGCTAAAGCTTCAAGGGTCTGAGATGCTTCAGGTGAAAACAAAAGTCTCAGCTGGGCCATGAGGGAGAAAACAAAAATCAATGATTGATTGATTGATAGGACAAGAGGGTTGCGAGGGGGCACCGCCCATTAGTCGCCCAATGGAGCAAAGGACACAACCGATTCACCGGGCGGGGGGCACCACGGAGAGTGGGCTTAACCCACCTGTAAAGCCAGGGGCCCTCCGTCGCTTAAGGCCATTTGAAGACTGAAAGGGCTACTTGGCAACCCCTTTGGCGTCTTTCTTGGTCTAACCTGAGACGGGGGTCTCCAACCTTGGCAACTTTTAAGACTTCTGGACTTCAACTCCCAGCATTCCCCACTCTTGCTGGAATTCTGGGAGTTGAAGTCCACAAGTCTTAAAAAGTTGCCAAGGTTGGAGATCCCCGTGTTAAAAACCATGATGTATTTTGAATGGGTCCCATTGAACGCAGGAAGAGGCCTCTGCGGAGCAAGGCTTAAAAAACTGGCCTTCTCAGTCTGGTCCAAGGAGAACAGCAACCAGGGATCGGGGAAATGAGGGAGGCTGTTCCAGATCCTTCTACAGCGGAATGGGATTGGAGGATCCAGCAGAAGCAGCTTACGGACCGTTTCACCCTGTGCCTACGTGGCAACTGGCGAAGAGCCCCCGGGGTGCCCAAGAGGGAAAGCTGGCCCTGCCACTTCCTCTCCCCCACCACAAAGGACTGGCCCATGGTTGGAACGGCTGCTGGATTTCAATGTGTCCTTTGTCCGGTGGCCTCTTTGGCATCCATTGTTTTCTATACAAGCCCCCTTTCCTCACAAAAGTCACTTTATCAGGAGGGTTAGCAAAGGAAACAGGGCAGCAAAAATCGGCCGATCTTAATGAGAGGAACTAAACTGATCCCAGCAAGCAGATCTCCCAATGGTTCAGTGACACCCCCCCCCACCCCCCCCTACAAATGAGAAGGGATCCAACAAGTTAAGGGAGCAGCTACGAGCACACAATTGAATCCTGATCTCTTTTTGGACTCTTTCCTGGGGTTCGTAATTAAGCTGGAAGTCTACAAGGAGAGCTTTTTCTTACCAGGAAACCTTTTTTTCTCTCTCTCGTTTTGCTTAAAAAAGAAGTGTCATTTTCTTCAGAAGGGAAGACTTAGAAAGGAATCGCATTAAGGAGAGACGGGAAAGTAAAGAACGGATTATAAGGCCGTATATAAACTACGATTCCTGGCCTAGCTTGTTACACAGACCCAACCACCCTGCCAATAAACTGCAATTAGGCCAATCCTAACTTTGTCTAGTAGACAACTTGGTGACTGCTGCATTCTTACAACCAAATACGCATGTTACAAACAAATATCACAGGTTGGACTTTTATCCGGTTTAATATGCTCTCGTTGCTGCTGTTACAATCCAGATTTTTTGTTTTTAAAGTAGACACTGATGGGTGTTTTGAGCGCCAGTCAAGCTACATGCTACCCCTGAATAAGACCGGCTCTTCTCAGCTGAGATCCATTGGAGGATTTTTTGTTTTCATTGCTCTGCCTCGGTACGTTAAGTGGGGTTTCCCAGTTACAAACAGAACCGAAAACGCCTCTTAAAAACTGCCTGCGTCTTGATCAGTTTGGAGGAGCCTCTCAGCCGAAGCAACAGCAATAGAGGTTCACACACACACACACACACACACACACACACACACTCCAATGGTCGACTAATGACAAATCTGCTAATAAAGATGTAGTTACTCTTTTCTTTGCAACCAGCTCCTGTTCATTCTGGACTCGTCGCCTCTTCCTTTCTTGTTCTCTGTCAGAATCCGTTTCCCCACGCCTGACGGTGTGGCCACACACTCACTTCCTCCTCGTTTCAAGGGAAATTGATGAGGAAGCAAAAAAAGAACACAGCAGTGCAAAAGAAGAAGAAAAAAAAATCCCCAGGAGGGATCCTTTAAAAAAAAAAACTCAGTAGGTGCTGTGTGGTGGAAATCGTGGCTCTTATATTCTCTGAGACAGCCCTCCTGTGCAGTTTGAATTCTAAAATGCATTTGTCCCGTGCTTGTATCTTAGGAAAAAACATGGCCTCAGAGGCTCAGAAATCAGGGAGTGGGAGGATCGGTGAACTGCATGCTAGTGTCACACAGACACACACACACACAGTTCCTCCTCATTGTAGAACCTCCTCCCCCCCCCAGATATTGGTGAAAAACTGCTGAGGCCACATTAGCTCAGAATTAGGGGTGTGAAGACCCTGTATGTTTGCCCAGACTCAGGGTCCCTGGTTGCAAGCATTGGTTGGCTTTCTATGGCCAAAACTCAGGAGCCCGGCTTGTTGCTGCCAAACAAACCAAGGTTCCTGAGTCAAGAACAAGCCCTGGATTTTGACTCTGGTTTATAAAAGGAAAACAAGAAGCCAGGATCGAGGCCTTTGACCTAGATGCTAAGCAAACCATTTCCCTGTATGCAGTTGCTGGGATGAAGGCATTTAATAGACCAAGGCAAACCTCCGAACCCTCCTGAAGCTGGCTTGATCCCTGCCAGGGACTGCAGCCGCCAAGCCCAGGTGCCCGGGAGGCCCTCGCTGTAGAAACTCAGCAAGATTCCTTGTGGAGGCGCCACGTCACTTGGGGGCCTCCAGACTAATCAATAACTTACTACTTCTCTTACACACTAAGGGAGCAAAACACCATAGCCACCAAAAGTGCGACGGCGGGCTCTTGGCGCTGAAGGACCAGTGTGCCATGCGAGCTACTGTGCAAACTAAGCTTGCTTTAAAACTCAGCAGCTCTTTAGCTGGTTCGGTATCTAATGCCTGCTGCTACGTCTAAGGCTGCTACGAAGACTGTCCAAAGTCTGGTCCAGTCAAAGCCAGCAGCAGGGAACCTGGAGGTTTTGCCCAAAAACCAACCAACCCACCAACCCAACGCCCAGCCTGTGCGAGGACTTTGCTAGCTATCAGGGCCCTGCAGCCTTCCTTGGGGAATGCCTGCAGGAAAGTGGGCAGAATCGACACCCCAGCGCCTATTTCCTCCTTTTCAGAAAAGGGGTTTTGGAACAGAGACTCGGGGGTGGGAGAGGAGAAGTTTACTCACCTGGGTAGCTTCCCAGCAGCCTCGCTGCAGCAGAATGCCACGCCTGGAATTCTGCAATGGACACGCACCCGGACAGAGCGGAAGCTACACAATGGGAGCCAAGGCAAACGTGCACAAACACACTTCGCTACAAATCTCCCTAAATGGCAAAGGCGGCAATCAGGACGAGACGAGACCCCACAAAATGTATGGCCCAGGGATCAACCGTGGCGGGAGAAGAGAATTAGCTGCAAAGAAAGGAGAGGGAAAGAGGAAGGAAAGGGGCAAGGAAAGGAAAGAGAAGGGAAGGAAGGAGAGGCAGGGAAGGAAGGAAGGAAGGAAGGAAGGAAGGAAGGAAGGAAGGAAGGAAGGAAGGAAGGAAGGAAGGAAGGAAGGAAGGGGACCACATAAGGACAAAAAGAAAGAGAGGCACATTTCCCTGGCAGTCGCCCCAATCAAAGGACTTCAGCCCTGATATTCTCCAGCACCTTTTCAGGTTTCCGGCTGAGCTGAGCCCACATCCTCCAAAGGCCACTAACTGCCCCCCCTCCCACTCATCCTGGGGAGGGAAGCCTACATTCAGGTATAACTTTCAGCCTAGGTTGGACGTCAAGCGACCGCAGTCCTGCTTGCTCCTTCCGAAATAAAACCTAAAGCTCGGTCAGCGTTTTGGTTCCTGCTCTTCTTTTCAATGTGGGTCTCGGTCGAAACCTCTGGAGCTGAAAGACGGTGGGTGGCGTCCCCAGGGAAGCAGCAGAGAGAGAGGGGAGAGGGGAGGAAGGCCCGGCAGCCGCTTTGGGTTTCACTACAGAGAGCCTAAGGCAAGCTAGCTAGCAGAGGAAAAGGCGTCTTCAGGGCCGTCGGTGGCCCAGGGTTTAGTGCAAAGGATCCAGAAACCAGATACTCGTCCCTGGCTAGATTTTCCAGCCTATTTTTGCCAAAACAGACAACGCTCGTTTTGCCCTCCCGACACCCTTCCTGCACCCGATGGCGGTCACCTCCGTTGCCTCTGCGCCCGCTTGTCACTTGCCCCTCTTGCTTCTCCCCTTGCGGGAGGAGGGCTTCCCGCTGCCTCCCGCGGATGAACCCGCCGAAGAGGCCATGGGGATGTTGATCTGCCCGTCCTGGATCTCCTGTCGGGCCTCGGCGGGCAGGTGGTTGATCTTCTGCTGGGCCTCCAGGTAGAACATGACGTCGCGGAGCTGCTCCTGGACCTCGGTGATCTGGAGGTCCTTCTGTTCGCAGGTCTCCTTCAGGAGCTTCTCCTCGTCCTTCAGCTTGTTCTGGAGCAGGAGCTGGTTGGCCCGCAGGCATTTGTTCATCTCCTGCTCTTCCTTCAGCTCGTTGGTCAGCTTGGACACCTTGGTGCTTAGCTGGCTGCATCTGGAAGGGGAGAAGGGGGAACTGAGGCAACGGCGGCAGCAGCAGCAGCAGAAGCATCTTTACCGGGATAAAAGGAGCAGGGATTTCTGTCTGTCTTGAAAATGACACATTGCCTCTCTGAAGTCTGACAAGCACACTGCCCTGGAAGATATTTCACCCCTCTAGGGCAAACCTATGGCACGCGTGCCAGAGATGGCACAGACAGAGCCCTCTCTGCTGGCACAGGCGCCGTCGCCCCAGGTCAGATCTCCGTGGTGTTTCTTTCCCGAGCTTCTGTTTCCTTGCAAACGACGAAACAGAAGCTCACGAAAGAAAGATCTTACTTCTTGCCTCGCTGCCGGTGTTGGGATGGCCCACCAGCCGGGTCTCTGCTGCGCATGTGCAGATGTCCACGCAGTTTGGGCAGTCGGTGTCTAAAAGGTTTGCCATCACCCCTTTAGGGCTTAATACTGGCAGTCCTCGACTTGCAACTGTTTGAAGTTACAACAAAAAAAAGGAGAATTCTGACTCAAATTTGAAATTCTGACACTTGCCCCTCCCCCCACCTCAATCTCTAAATTCCTATGACTGGAACTGAAGCGCTAAGGCAACTGCCATGAAATTTCATTTTAATGTATGCCAATTATATACATTCAGTGTGACCATAAAGTTATTCTAAGTCTAACCGTGGCTTCATTTACGGCTGTTTGCAGGATTCTGTCATCAAGCGATTGCATTTTACGACAGTTTTACCAAAAGCTAGCACTTCCAGTTTTCAGCAAAACCCTGATTGCTTTGTTTAAGAACTGCAGCATTTGCTTAACGATTGTTGCAAAAAATAAAATAAATAAAAAAACCCCACCAACTTCAGGTCATGTAACTGTTTTATGACCATCATGGATGGTCTCCCATCATAGCTGCATGTCAAGGACTACCTCTATGTCGCTCCTAAGGACGTTAATTCCGGACCAAGAGGAAAACCAGCTGGTCCTCGGGGGGGGGGGGGGGGAGATTGGAGTCAAAAATCACAAATGAGATGCATTTTGCACCCAGATCACTAATTTTAGGAACATCCAGTTCTAAATTCTGAAAGTTACCCACTTCCTTTCGACCGACTGCCGCTCCTTCAGTAAGTCGTTCAGTCTGTGTTCCAGCGAGTCGCATTTCTCAATAGTCTCTTTAAATTTGGCCTTCATGTTGTTGATCTGTAAATGATATTTTTTAAAAATGGGCATTTTAAGTTCCAGCTGGGTGCTCTCTGCATGGCTCAGAATCCGATTCAGGACCATTCTTCTCAAGAATTTTTCTGGGCGAGTAGGAATTGCTACAGTGAAGTGGTTTCCCAACTTTGGGTTGGGAAACGAACAGCGATTCCTTGGAAGAATGTTCCTGGAGCTCCCTTTGAAAAGGATGGACTCTGCTTTGGAAGAGGAAACATAGACTGAGCAGAGAGAAGGAACCAGCCCATGAAGTGGCTTCCTTAGTCCAGCATGGCTACCTGCAGGTTCTGAGATCCCAAGCCCTTCTCAAGGGACTTCTTGGCTGGACTTCGGCCCCAAGAGCGAACCAGGCATTCCTAAATGGAAGGAGCTCAATCTGACCCTGCAATCTGGTTCCTGCTGTCTACAAGAACAAAGCTTTCAGAAGGAACTTACTTCTTCGGCCGTATCCTTTTCTATTCGGACGATCTTGTTCTCCCAGTAGATGCGCTGGGACTCCAACTGGCTGGTTAGCAAGTAGGAATACTGCATTCAGAGAGAGAGAGAGAAAGTGGACAAGCCATCCTTATGTTCTTTAGAGCACGTGTCTCCAACCTTGGCCACTTTAAGACTTGTGGACTTCAACTCCCAGATTTCCTCATCCAGCAAAGCTTCACGAAGCTGAGGAACTCTGGGAGTTGAAGTCCACAGGTCTTAAAAGTTGCCAAGGTTGAAGACACCTGCTCTAGAGGACAGCTGGAATCCCATCCCGGAGGTCTCCTCCACTCCAAGTTACATTCAAGAAAGACAACCCTAGACTATGAAAAACATTCCACAGAGGATCCATTGAGTTAGCCATGAAAATCTCCACAAACAAACCGTCTGGGAAGAGCAGTGATGCACACTTACTTCTAATTGTAAGGCATCAATTTTCTCTTCTTGACACACATCCCCCTCACATTCGTACTGAACCAGCTTGCCATCTGTTTTGCTGGCCACCAGACGGTGGACATAATTGTCTAGAGAAAAGACAACAACCAACTGGTCATCCTGAATCAAGGTCCGAATCAAAGCAGCTCAGGAGTCACCTCCAACTATGGCCACCTTCAGGTGTGTGTTAAGGGAGAAGATTCACCTGGCTGAGAACTTGGCTCCTTTTGAGGTAAAGAAGTGGTGGCCCTCAACTTCTCCCCACCCAAGGACGTCTTGCTCTCAAAAACGGAGCCCTCTCTGATTATAGCAAAGTAGATGGACCAGGGGTCTCCCCAACTAAAGGGGGTGGTCCACTTTGGGGTGTGGCTCGGTGGTCTGTGGCACAGGGCTTACCCCCGGCGTAGTCCCAGACCCTGTGATTGGTCAGCTGCATGGCGTAGGTGTGTTGTGTCTCCTCAAAGTGCTTGTATGCGTGCCGGCTCACGTAACGCCCGCATCCAATGTGCCCGCAGATGAGGCATATCCACAGGTTCTGTATAACAGAAAGAGCAATACAACTGACATCCAGGGGGGAAAAACACCCAAATTCTATTTCCGAAGAAGCAACACTGCTGATTTATGAACAGACATGGATCCAGACTCACTCACTTCTTGGACTCCACATTCAAAACATTTGTTTTCTTCTACAGGTTCCGGAGTCTGGCAGTACCTGCAGACGGGGCACCTGGAGAAGGGAGAAAAGAGAAGGCCTTGAGGACTCCAAATTAGGTCACCCGGCTTTAACCTTCTGGATCTCCATTGCCCCTGCTCTGATCCACCTTTCCGCCCTTGTGAGGGTCTTACGTGGTGTCCTCCCACCGCTGCAGACACTGACTGTGGAAGCTGTGGTTGCAGACCGTGGTCAGGATCCCGTTGACCGATTCATCCATCCTCTCCAAGCAGACGGTGCATTTGGGGAGCTCGGTCAGGTCCATGACGGGCAGGCTGGCCCCCTGTGGGAGGAGAAGACATCTGGCCTCAGTGTCTCCCAATCCTGGCCACTTGAAGGTGTGTGGACTTCAACTCCCAGAATTCCCCAGTCAGCAGGTTGGAAAACCCTGTCTTAGCCAGTCCACCTTCCAGTTGCAATGAACAGCAACGGGAAACCTCTGCAAGCTGGTCTGCTAGGTATCGTAGGACATAAGCAAATTTCCTCTGGAGTATCAGAAAACGCTGCGGGGCCTTATCACCGTACTATCCCCCCTGTGACCCCCCCCCCAATCTGGCCTCGCTTCAGTGCCATCTTACACCAGAAGATGGCTAACTGGGGAGAGATCTCCCCCTCCCAGAAAGGAAACAGAGAACAAGAGACAGCTTACGGCTTCTGACTTGAAGACCTCTGCCCTTTCCACGTAGACGAGCTGACAAACGTCCTCTTCTATGGAGTTAAACTGCCGACCGTTGCAAGTCATGTAGAAGCTGTCTGCATCTGCCTGCACAGAAGCCACAGGAGAACAGTTTGGAGGGACACAAATTGTAAATGATCAGAGGTCTATTTCCCTTCTCCTCCCACCTCCTCAAAAAATAAATAATATAAGAACAGGCCAGCGGCACTCGCTTACACAGCCCCTTCCTCTCTCAGATTCAGGACTTTCTAGTTGCAAGAGCAGCATACGTGTTTCTGGATCACAACCAGACAGAAGAGGCACGGAAGGAGCCTTCAGCCCAAAGCTGAAGTCGCTCTTTGTTCTTACCTGGGTCCGGAATTTGATGAGGACCATGTACTGGTTTGGGGTGGAATCTCGGATGATTTTCATGTGTTCGATGACATCATAAAAAGACGCCACAAACTTCATGAGGTCGTGGCTGGTCATTGTGGCAGGGACTGTGAGAATACACAGCATGGCGCTACGCCGCACCTCTTCTTTTAACGAGGTCATTTTGCTGCACAAAGGAAGAATTAAGACTAGTCAGCAAGTCCATTCTTTTTGCTTCGACTCTTTTTTGCAGTGTTAGCTAATCTTAACTGCTTTAAGACATCTGGACTTCACCTCCCAGAATTCCCCTTCACCCACAGCCTTTCCTTCTCAACGGAAGAGGAATTTCATAGTGATGGCAGCTTTCCAGATCCTTTAAAGCAGGGGTCTCCAAACTTGACAACTTTTAAGGCTTGTGAACTTCAACTCCTAGAATTCCCCAGCCGGCCATGCAAGTGGGGAATTCTAGGAATTGAAGTCCACAAGTCTTAAAGTTGCCAAGCTTGGAGACTCTCCTGCCTTAAAGCATTTAATGTGAGTCCTGCTTTCTTACTTTGTCTTGTAGAGGTGCATAATGCCGTGAGCTATTTCAACCGATGGATTCCCACTGAAAAAGGAAATCTGGTCAGGGAGCTGCTTTGATGGAGAATCCGGTGTAGTCCCACTGCTTCCACTTTGGCCATCCTGATTATTGTAACCCTCAGTGGAGGAAGCCTCAGCTGCGCCAACTTTGTCCATCATCTCTTTCACCTCATCTTTTTCAGAAATCCAAAAACAGATAAGTTAGAAACCTGACACTTCCAAACTGCAATCCATACCTATTTTAAGATCTTTTCTCATTAAAAGGTAAGGGACTGCTTTGAAACAATGGGAAAAATAATGGCAGAAGATTTCTTAGAAATGTTTTGTCAGTATAAAAATAGGCCATTAAGATTTTGAATTCAGAAAAGCTGCTCAGCTCATATTTCTCAACAATGCTGTACCAGAAGACTAAAGGTTGCCAGTAACAATCCAGAGTCAAGTACTAATTTCTAATCATTGGTCCTATTGATTCATACGCTCATAAAAAATTAATAAGCAGACTTCAAGAATCACTTGAAATGGTGCCTTGCAAACAAGCTCGCATAAAGTTGCTTGCAAGTCAATCTGTTTAACAGCCTGCCTGCCCGCCCAGATGCAATTCTCTGCATTTTTGTGGGGAAAAAAACCTTGGATTTCTTGCTAAATGCCAAGCTGACCTCAGAAGGTAGGTTTCGCCTGGCCTTCAAAAGCTGCTTATTAACCAGGGAGGTTGGATGGATGCACGGACAGACATATATACAAATATGCACCGTGAAATTTACATAATTCCAATCAAATAGTGCTTCTCCACTTGTGCCAATCATTCTCTATGTCCTAGAGAAATGTACTGCTCGTCCTTCTACTTGGGGCACCAAACGACGTGTCACAGGTACCTGGATCTGGCTTTATCGTCTCGATGATCACATCCGTCATCTCCCGCCGGCCAATGTGTTGGTGGATTATGGTCGCCTTCTCCACGGGTGCCTTGCCCTCCAAGGTCACCGCAGCGGCGGCCAGCGACGTCTCCTGCATCACCTCATCAGACATCTCGGTAGCTGAAAAGCATGATTCACCCGGCTGTTGCAGAGTTTCCGCACAAACACAAGCACAGCCGCAGCCAAACCAGACCAGATAAACCTGAACCAGCCCCGTGCAAGGAGCTCGTTTAGGCCACGGGCTGTTTGGACGCCTCCCTGCCTCTTCCTCCCCTGGGTCCACCTTCACCCTCTGACCCACAAGAGGGCCGAGAGCCTCGCTTCGCCCATCCACTTGCCAAACGTATTATAAACAGACCCACAGAGAGAGAGAGAGATCGAATAAAGAAGGCCTGACCGACGTTGCCCTAAATCGGGGTCTTTCAAGCAGGGGAGCGTTAAGGTGGGTGGACTTCAAGTCCCAGAATTCTGCCGGGTGGGGGATTCTGGGAGTTGGAGTCCTCCCGTCTTAAGCTTGAAAAACACCGATTTAGACACAGCAGGACCGAAATATTTCGTCTTTCCCGGCCTATCGCTTCCTCTAGCAGCCGCCCCCAGCTCTCCTGCCCCCCCTTTAGCCGTGTCACCCCCACACACACACACACAGAGAGACCCTCGCAGCCCCCCTAAGAGAAGCCCCCAGGCCCTCACCGGCAGCGCTGTAAGAGAAGCCGCCCGGCACGGGCGAAGACTCGGCCAGCTCCAAGCGAAGGACCACCAGAGACACACTCATAGGGGCCGCCCCGCGGAGGGTCCCGGGCCTGCGGGGTCCGAGCTCGGGCGGGAGGGAAACGGGAGAAACGGGAGCCCTCCGCCGCCTCGGATTGCCGAGCGCTTCCGCCTCTCCGCCCTCGTGACCTTTGACACGGGGGCAGGAGGGGCGGCGCGCAGGCGCTGTGCGCTGCAGGGGGCGCGGCCGTGAGGTCACGCGGGGGGCGAGTGGGCGGGGCCAATGACTCCTCCTCCTCCACCCCTTCTTCCAAACCCGGAAGGGCTCCTCTGCTCCGCTGTAGTCCAGCTTCGGTCGAAGGCTTCCCAGGAGGGGGCAGTGGGTAGGAGTGGAGCATGGGACCTCTTGGCTGCGGAGGATGGGCGGTGTAGTCGACCCACGGCTTGTATTTTGCTTTAAAGAGCCCTGGTTGGTTCTGGAGGAGGAGGTGGAACCTCCAGGGGAGAGGCTAGAGGAGGGGGCTGGTTGGGGACAATGGGAGTTGGAGTCCAGCGCATCGGTCGGGGGCTAGGAAGGCTGAGGTCGGCCGGGGAACCCCGTTCCTGGAGGTCGACAGGCTGGAGATGCCAAGTGGACCTGCCTCCAGGCTCCTCCAGGGTTTTTGGGTGGGGGGGGCTTGTCCGCCCCCTCCCTCCAGGGAGGAACATCTCTGGTCCTTGCTTTTCTGAAGCGCTTTGGCCTCTACAAATATATAATAATAATAATGATAATAATGATAATGATAACAATAATAACAACAACTTTATTGTCATTGTACGTGTATACACAGACAATGAAATTCACTTAACACCCAAAGACCAGGTCCAACACCAACAAATGATGCTGCTATAACAGCCTTTCTCAATCTTGGCCACTTAAAATATGGGTGGACGTCAACTCACGGAATTTCTGGCTGAGGACTTCTAGGAGCTGACGGCCACCCATCTTCAAGTGGCCATGGCTTAGAAACACTGGCCCATAAGAAGTGACGGGATTTTTTAAAAATCTACACGATAGTCCGCATTGTGTCAAAAAATATGCCCAGTATATACAACTCAGTGTAAAAAATATGCTCCAATATTCTCTTTTGCACAAGTCTCTGAAGCCTTCCCTCTGCTTTGACATGCGCAGTCCCAGACCATGGGTTTCGGGAGAATTTTCCAAGCCTTTTGCAGCTGCCCTGCAAGGAGGGTACCGATCCTTTGGTCTTCCTGGCACAAGGCCCCAGACGTGGCTTCCCGGTGGAGGAATTACGCATCCTGTCCCTACAAAGCGGTGATCTTTGACATGGGTGGCGTCCTCCTTCCTTCTCCATACAAACTGGGCATGGGTAGGTGATTTTCCCAGAGTTTATACCATCACCTTCTCTTCCCTCTGCTGGTTCTGTGTGAAGTTTCTCTGCTTTCAGCTGTTGAATTTCTCCCACCTTCTGGAGCAGCAGGGAGAGTCGTTTTGAAACCGAAAACGGCTTCAATGGCTGAGCACCAGCTCAAAATCGTAATTCCTGAAGCATCCTCAATGTTGGTTTTACTCCTGTGCTGCTTAATTATTCTTAAAATCTTTTGTATCCCGAGAGAGAAATATGATTTCCTCACTGGACTGCCTGCCTTTATTTAGATTGGGAGATTCGGAATCGTGTCCCCGCCGGCACCATCAAAGAGGCCTTAAGATCCGGGGGTGAGGACAGGCCCTGGATGAGATTCATGAGAGGGCAGCTGAAGTGGGCAGAATTTCTACACGAGTTCAGACAACAGTGCTCCAGAATTGTAAGCCAGGTTTTTTCCTTTGATTCCTGTGGGATGAGTAAGGGAGGAGGGTCTTAAGGTGAATATATGTGGAAGCCCCTTGGGCCCCAGGGTTAATGTCCTTTTTCCCAATAAGCCCGTTTGTTTTTCCGAGTTAGAGCTGGATGAAGTCAACCAGAAAAAAATCCATCACTGTGCTGGGCATTTAAAACTGTTCATGGCTACCATGCTATCTCAGAAACCAGACTTAGTTTTCTTCTAACTAAAAAAAAAGAGAGAGAGAAACTTTACAATTGAATTTATAAACTATGTAAGATTATTGATGTTTATTTCTTCACTGGAAAAAACCACCCCGTCCTACATTTCTTTTTCCCTCCCCAGGCAAATGCTTCTGTTCCAGCGGACTCTTTCCTTTTTGAATTAACCAGAATACAAATGTCAGACCAGCTCCCTGCTATGACTGAGGCCGTAAAGTGCATCAGAGCCAGAGGTCTCAAGACGGCCGTTTTGACGAACAACTTTTATCTAGAAAATGGAGAGAGTTTTCTGCCTATAGACAGAAAGCAATTTGATGTGGTAAGTTCTTTGTGCTCCACAGAAACTCCCATTCCTTGGAGCTATTACTTCATTGTGATAGTTGCAGTTTAATAATTATGCTTGCCTAAACTTGTATAAGAGTACGCAGGGCTCGTGAAGGAAAACGAATTATATTTTTCTCTACGTAGGTCCCATAATGGAATAACTTAGAAGAAGGATTCGGTATCTTGGCTGCTTGGACCCCTCAGATTTCCTTGTTCAACTGATGATTATCTAACTGCCTTTGCTAAAAAATAATCTTTAAAAAAAAGATTAATTGGGAGCATCTGGCTAGCCAAATTTCTCACTTGATTAATCAGCTGCATGAAAGAGTACATTCTGTTGTTACTTGGTTAATAACTTTAAGGCCAGGAATCAAACCTTGAACCCTCCCTAAACCCTCATGTGAAACATAGGACGCTATTGGCTTTTTCTGTTCTGTTTATTTTATTTCCGAATCCCTTCCCCACTCCCTCCCTCCTGCCTCATTGCCTGGGTGTTCGGCTTTTTCTCCCAGGTTGTGGAATCTTGTCGGGAAGGGGTGTGCAAACCCGACCCTCGCATCTACCAGCTGTGCTTGGAGCGCCTGGGTGTCCTGGCCAAGGAGTCCATCTTTCTGGATGACATCGGACAGAACCTCAAAGCTGCCAGCCAACTTGGCATTAAGACCCTGAAGGTGAAGAAGGGGTGCAGGAAGGAGGACACTTTTAAAACCAGTCTTCCCAGAGCTGAGCCAACCTCCTTCAGTTAAGACTTTTTTTGAAGCTATTCTCTAGATATAAATATCTAGCCCTACTTCTTTGGTCATGTCTTCCCAGCAGAGATATTTGCAGATATACTTGCTTTGTGCATGGAAACTCTGTTTTAAACACAGGGTTCTTCTAAGCCTATTTGCTGCTTCAGCTCCTCCGTTCCTTCCTCTGCTCAGGTCGATGATGCGGACTCTGCAGTTCAAGAATTAGAGACCTACCTCACTTTCCCCTTGCGTTGCATGATTCCTTACGCGTCTTCTGTGAGGCCGGCCATGGAAATCCCCACAGCGCCTCTACAAAAGTATCTTGAAAACATCTTGGGGGCCCAAGCGAAAGGTACAGGAGTCGATATTCCCATTTTGCATTGGGGTGGGGGGCAGAGATTGTCTTTATTTGGAATATTCAGTGGTGCTCCTGTTAGCAGGTTATGTAAAAAAAACCAGTGAACTTTAATGGCAGAAGGGTGCAGGTTAGGGCCAAACATCTGCTCCAAACTTTCTCACTTTGCAGAGTTGCAAAGATAAAATGGAGGGAACCCCGGATTCTGTGCGGGGTCTCCTGGGGCCCTCTGGTTCACGTGTGCTCTTCCTGATCGTCCTTCTTGGCTGCGACTTTGCAGGTTCTCTGGAGCTGCACCAGTTCAGCCACGGGCAGTCCAATCCGACTTACTACATCAGATTTGGGGACCATCAGTTGGTTCTAAGGAAGAAGCCACCGGGGAAGCTCTTGCCCTCCGCTCACGCGGTAGAGAGAGAATACAGGTAAAAAAAATCTGGCAAATATAGCGATAAATTATGTGAAAATGCTAACAAGCGAAACTCCCAGCCTTGTGGATGACCATATTCATTGTTGATGATAATTGGAACTGAGAGGTATCATCTGAAGGGCACTACATCTATGATTATTTCTTCTTCTTTTCCTCCTCCCACAGCACTTCTTCCCATCTTAATTCTCTTCTCTTTTTGTTGGGTAGGGTCCTGAAGGCCCTCAGGGATACTGGCATCCCTGTTCCAAAAGTCCTGGCCTTATGTGAAGATTCAAGGTGAGTTCTGGGCCCAATTCTGCATGAGATGGAGTTTTGGGGGGCTGAAAACCTCACGATCCCCTGCTGACGTCCTGGTGTTGCTCTAGTGTCATCGGCACCCCCTTCTACCTGATGGAGTACAGCCCCGGCCGGATCTTCAAGGACCCTTCTCTCCCAGAGCTGGAGCCCCACCAGCGGACGGAGGTTTATAGTGCCATGAATAGCGTCCTCTGTCAAATCCACAGCGTGGGCATCCAAACTGTTGGCCTGGAGGATTATGGAAAACACAGTAGGTCAAGCGCCTCTCGGCTGCTCCCTTGCAGGAACTCTGGTCTTTGGGATTATGTTAAAATAAAATGGGATCCTCTGATGGAAAGAAAGCTTCAGGTTGGTGCAGGGACATTTCTGGAGGAAAGAGCCCTCCAGGTGATGAGAGAGAAAAGTTAAAACTCTGGAACTTTTTTGTTCCTCTGAGATTGTAAGCCTGTACCCGTTTAAAATGGATTTGTGTAGGATTTTTTTTACAAAGAGCAGGATAAACGTTACTTCATGGAGATATTAATATTGTAGGCAATTATGTCCAGCGGCAAATCCAGACCTGGAGCAAGCAGTATCGAGCCACGGAGACTCACACAATCCCAGCCATGGAGAGGCTTCTCAAATGGTTCCCGTCCCACCTTCCAGCCAGTGAGCAGCTCTCGGTTGTTCATGGAGATTTCAGGTACTGGCTGACCTGCCGTGTTTCCCCTGGTTTTACAGAAGCTTTTTTAGAAGCAGGAAAGTAGGGGGGAAAATATATATATATATATATATATAAAAATAAGGAAATGGAGAGACTTGGGACCAATTCTTTGTGTGCTGCAGGCCCTGAAATAACATTTCAGAATGGATCCTTTCCGCCTGGGAAAGAAACCTGACTTTGGTTCTCAGCTGATGCAGGATATTTAATTGTCTCTGCAGAATGTGCACCAATTGGAAAATTGGGGGGGAGCAGTGTCCTCATTCTTGCCTCTTCCCTCCCCACCTGCCCAAACAATTGGCTTTGCGGT